AAAATATCATTTTGTATTTTCAAACATATATGTATAAATAAAAACTTAGTTTAATTTAATTAACATAAATGCGTGTTAAAATTAAAAATTTTAAAAGAATTCAAGTTATTAAAAGTTTTGCCATTTCAAAAGAATTAATAATATTTTAGTAGTCTCTATAGGCTTTATTTGGTTTTATATATATTTTTTTTTTTAATTTTAAATGCAGATGTATTACTTTTATTTAACAAAACTGTACAAAAAATTGCACTTATATTCACGATATTTTGGCTTTTGTGGCGCTTATATATTAAATAAGCTTCACCACAAATTATAATAAGATTTCCATCTTGTGCGTGCTTTTTATATGAATTTCTCGAGAAACCGATTAGTTACCTTAGTAATTGCCAACTCGTGTTGCGTTTAACCATCGGGTTTCATCTTCAAGCATGGCATCCACCGCAAAACCAATTACAATCTAGTGGGCAAACTGTGACGAACTGAACTCTTCGATCTTGAGACACGTGTGGAGCATGGCGACCCCAATTTCCGGAGACCGCAAACTCTTTGGCACTGTTCAATGAGATTCTGCAGGAGCTCCATTAGAAAGTTGCCAACGCCAACGCCAACGCCAACACACATATCAATTACACAAGTTTTCCTTAGTCGCCGTCGCCTTGGTTTTTGGTCCTGGCATCGTTCTGTAATTGCATGGAAAACGGCAACCGCAGCTCCGTGGACTCGCCAGAGTTTTCTCCCAAAAGTTGTTAGCCAGCGTCTTTGGTGCGTTCAAGTTAAATTGAAATTTGCATTTCGCCGGACAGCGGAGCCATAACTTGACTGACTGTCTGACACAATACATTTCCGTTTGAAGCCCGGAATCTATTCATTCCGTTTTCATTTCCTTCAAGTTCCTTTCTTTTATACCCTAACAGAGTACGTTGTGATTTTAGAATTGAAATAAACGCGCTTGTCGTATTTTAAGGAAATTAAATTTTTTAGATGTTTGAATTTAAAATGTCTTGGCTAGAAATCAGCATTTCGTTTTCTTTCGTGAGCGATTGTTTCACATTTTCAAATACGAGTCAACAGAATAAATTTGAAGAAGCTAGTGAAATAAACTGATTTTTCTATTTTATCTGTTTTTATAAAAAACGGAAATATTATATAATATATTTTTAAATGGACCAATTATTTTCAGTTATTATTTTTGAGCAAAATTGGTTTATTTTCGAAACTATTTATTTATCTGTAAGAGTATTTAAAAAGTGAACTAAATAAGCTTACTATCATTGTTTACTTGGGTTTGTCTTCTTTTGACATTTTATTGTTTAAGTAGCATCAACAAATGCACTTTTTCTTATTCCCCTCCCAGTTGGAAGTAATTTTCCTGTATTGTGTTGTATTCTGAGTTTAATGCGTGAATATTGTTATGCTTATACCAGCAAAAGTAGCCAAAGGGCAATGAGCAATAGTATTTTACAAAATAACCATAACAAAATTGGATATTTCTGACATGAAGAGATAGGTTTTTTGTTTGGTATTTCTATAGTCGATATTAAATGTAGCTGTAAAAACCTTTGAATTCGTGTTTGTTGCTGGTGATTTGGTTTTATTTTAGTCAGGTTTTAAAAGTTTTTGTGTTTGCTTTTGTGTCCAAAACTTTTACAGAGAGCAGCAAAAGGTTTCAAAAACATTTTTCGCATGTGGGAAAACATTGAAACTTAGAACATTGACTGCTCCATTGGGGATTGTTGTTGAAGTCTTCCCCAGGTGTAATATGAATTTTTTTTTATGATAGTTTGCAAGAATCTGCATAAATTTGACGTATATCAAAAAATAAATATAAATCTTGAAGTGATTTTCGGAAAAGCTATAAATACAAATGAAACAAATAATAAATTTATTCTCTATAAAAACTAACATTGTTTAATGGTGGGCTTTTCCCAATTGCTTTTTAAGAATTTCTCCAGGTTGGTTAAATAAATAGAATCTAAATTTGTTTTTTTGTATCTTTTGATAAAACAAAGTGTCCATGGTTAATTTTAATTATATGGACATAATTGTGGCATCGCCGGTCACTAGTTAATAACAATCGCAGCTAAGTACCTTAGGCAGGATATAGGGACCTCAATTTAGGTCATACATTCGAACGCCGTTGCACTCTCGTTTTAAGGCGATCTGGTTTTAAGGCGATAACCATTTTGTCCTTGGGAGAAGTTCGAAGCGAGGTCCTTAAGGATATAGCTGTATACGGCCAGCTTCGACAACAACAGCGAAATGCATTTACGGCGTAATCCAATCACGGCAGTAATGAAATGGTAAGTGCCAGACACACGAACCGGAGGTGAAGGGCCAAAGTGAAGCCCAATGTGGGTTGGGCCATTCCCAGTTGGAGCTGCATTCAGCCACCGGAAGCAGCCAGCTGGCCAGACAAAGCTCCTTTGGACGCAATCTGTGCGCCGGCCAAAAATGCAACAGATCCTGCTCTTGTTCCTCTTTTTCTGGGTCACGTTTTGTATTTTGCGAGGTTTTTTTTTCGGCCGGGGGCTTGGTCTTTGTGCGCCATGGCACTTGGAAAAATTCTGTTTTGTATGAAAAATATTTTGAAATTTATTTTTTAAACGACAAAAAGAATCTTACCAGTTATTGATTAATTACATTTTTCCGAAACACCAATATAATTTGACGTTCAGTTTAAACTTAATGTAAGAATAAGAAAATCGGCCTTTAACTTTTATTATTTTACTTTCTTTTGGAATTTTTTTTTCAGTGACGTCAAGCGAGATTTTTAATAGCTCACGTTTCAGATTGCAAGCCGTAGCGGAGTTCCAATCGTTTTGACCAACAATCCCCGTTGTTAACGCTGATGACAATGATGGCCCTCAGTGGTTGTTCAACCTATGTGCTGTTTCGACTTTTCTGAAGACTTTCGAGCTGCCCCTGACATTGACATCTTTGCAAGTATCCAGGTTGCTTTACCTGGAAAATCGATTAATGGAAACGCTTACCAATCAATGAGTTAACTGCAAACCGCAATTTCCACAGTTCTAATTCAATTGCATTTCAGGTGACCGCAGAAATGTGATGGACAAGCGCACAAACTAATCAACTAATTAAAACCAAGTTTCAACGCTACGCAATTGGTCACGTTTCACCACATAAATCAAAGGACTACTACTTTAAGTTGCACAACTTGTTGGGAAAGTGTCAGGGATTTAAAGACCAGATGAGGCGGAGCTTTGAAAAGTCAAGAGTGATAATGATTCAGATGCCAAGAAGGTAAGTGAAATAAACCAAGCCAAACCAAACCAAACAGGGAAAATTCTCACAAATTTGCACTCGCAAAAGTTGCTAAGCTGTCGTTGCTTTTTCCCCATCTCTTGACTTACGCAAATCCCCCCCAACAAACAGCTCAAAGCTCAAACGTTCTTGCCATTTATTTATTTTTTTCTTTCAATGAATTGCTTTCCCATATTTGAGTTAACATTTTCACTCCTCACCTTTCGCGTGTCTGCAGTCTGCAGGTGGGCGCACGTATATTTGAGAAACTGAGGAAACTGGAAAACCATTTCAAAGCCAACTCTTTATGCTGGCGCGCTGAAACGCATAAATCAATGGGGGGAAAGCAAGCCGGGAAAGTGGCAGAAAGCCAAGTTCCTAAACTTGATTTAATGCCGGTGCAGCTAGCAGAATACAATATATTGGCAGGTTGTTCTCCAAAGTGCGCTGGCTTAAAAGCCCTTAACTTGACTTCAGTTCAATCGTATCCAAATAAATCAACAACAGCAGCAGCAGCAACGAAAAAATACTCCAGAGGCTCACAAAAGTCTAAGAATTTGTTCTCTGACAAATGAATGGTGGTTGTCAAGATGTCAAGTTTTGTAGCCCTTCAAAAGGTTTCAATTGAATTAAAGTTTTAATAATTTTCAATGCTGCATTTTTCCCCAATCGACCGCGAAACTTAAATAATGAAAACTTTAATTATATGAATTTTCAAAGTCACATTCCATTTTCAAATCCTTAAGTTTTTATTTTCTTAAGCCGGTTGATATTGTAATTAATTGTAATTTTCTTAAAATTCCCTTCTAAAAGTCAATAGTACAAAACATATATTTTTTACAAACATTGCTTTATTGACACTTTTTCAAGCACATTAACATAATTTAACTAAATTACAGAATACTCAGCTCGTTCCGAAATATACTGTTGGTTAAACAAACCTCAATTATTGAAGTACATCCATTTCCAAAAAAAAGCAGTATTCACACCATCACATTTAAATAATTTTATATATCTGAGCGACACCTAGTTGTTGCACATATCTGTATGTATATACAATTAAAACAAAATTATGTTCATTTAAAAGTATCTCTTTTGCTCTATCAATTAAAATTCTGGCCAAGACTCCCGCAGACTTTAATAGTGGTATTTACTCAGCTGGTTTCATACTTCGCCGACCGCCCTCGTAAAAAGTTTTTTATTTTACATTTTACGAGTGTCTTGGCTGACTTAGTTGGCTTTTGGCTAAGCAGCTTATTTTGTGCAATCTCGTCTTATTCCTTTTTAACTGCATAAATCTGTGTAATTACCTAATTGGTTAATTATGAAATCTGTTCTGCAAATGTTAATATTTTCTTAAAAAAACAAAAATCAATTAAGTTTGAATTATTAAATCGTTTAAATGTCCTTTGTTTTATAAGTACTGGTTTGAGAACTTAATTGTAGCTTATGGTAGTAGTGTTACTGGCAGTAAAATATTCAAATAAAATATATTTCTGTTTAAAATTCAATTTATATTTATATTTATATAGATTTTAAAATGTTTGAATTTATATTTGTGGATCTTAAACATATCAAATCAAAATTTTTGTTGCCCCATCAACTTTTGTATATTGCTAATATATCGTTGTGCGGTTACAATCTTATAAGAATCTTTATCGAAATTATATATATAAGTTATTTGTGTAGACATGTATTAATACTGCTTAGTCTCAAATTCTTAATGATGTTTACATGATTTTAGGTAATAATGAGTACAACATAATTTAAATGCAGGGTTTTTCATTATCTATGCTATAGTTAAATTGGTGTTTTATTTTAGAGACAGTTTTTATTTAAACTGGGTTACAAATCTGTTTGCTGCACTGCACCGGATCCTCTCCTTGTGGTGGTGCAAAAGGCTTCCTGCTGTTCGCTCAAACAAATAATCAAATTCTCCGGCGGAGCTGTCACTTTGCCATTGGAATTGCAGGATTTCTGTGTCCCTGTGGTTCCGGTTTTCTCCGCTGTCGTTGTCGAGGATGTGGTGGTCGATGAATTATTGTTACCAGTATTCAATGGCAACAGGGGAGGCGTCTGCGGATTGCTGGACAGCATGCGCTTGGAGCCACCCCTTTTTCGGCTGCCCTGTTTGGTGAAAACACTGGGCTCCACCTGCAATTGGGCGTTGATATCCTGCTTGTTCATACAGGTGAAGGCCTTGAAGAAGCTCTTGCGGAAGTTCTCACTCAAGAAGGCATACAGGATGGGGTTTACCGCCGAATTGGAGTAAACCAGAGCTCCCAAAAGCAGAAATATTAGTATCTCCAGTCGAGAAAGGTCCCTCTGAGCGGGATTCGAGTGGATCAAGGCCACCTGTGAGATCCAGTGTGGAAGCCAACAGCAAATATACACACTAATAACCTGTGGATTGATAAAAAATAGCCAAATCCAAAAGTGCAAACAAATATTTGTAATATTCTTACCGTCAGTACAAGTCGAGTGACTTTGCGATGAGCCCTCCTCTTCTCCTTGGACTTTGTGGTATGCTTTGGACCCACTGACTGCAGTTTTCGAATGACCAGATAGTAAAAAGTCAGGATAAAACACAGTGGTGTGGCAAAGCCCAGGAAAAATGTGTACAGTATAAAGGTAGTGCCCGAGTGCTTTTTGTACGCATCCGGCCACATTATGTTGCAGGAGTAATTAATGCCATCCTCCTGTTCCACAGTGCTGGCATATAGAATCACCGGCAGCATGAGTACCGCCGAAGTTGTCCAGGCAATGGCCGAAACTATCTTGGCTATGTGCAGAGTGCGGTATCGGGGTGAGGAAATGGGATGGCACACAGCTATATACCGATCCGCAGACATGATGAGCAGAAAAATCGACGAGGTGAAGGAGGTAATTGAAGTGCTCACCATATAAGCTTTGCACATAAACTCCCCGAATCGCCAGCTACAAATTCTCATTGTATACAGCAAAAAGGGTATTCCAATCAGGAAGCACTCATCGGCCACCGCTAGATTCAGTATATAAATATTCGTTACCGTTTGCATCTTGGAGAATCGCAGCACCACATAAATCACCAAGGTATTCCCGAATAATCCAATTAGGCAAACGAATCCATAAAGCACCACAGTGAACAAGTCCGCAAAGGAATTCCGGGTGGCTATGCAATGTTGATACGTGGGCAATTCGGTGCCATATATAGTGTCCTCTGGCTGAATTGTGGAACTACCACTAATCCATCTATGGTTCAGTTCAGTGGTAAATAAGCTCTCGTTGGTATTATACCAATTTGTGGTGTTCACATATGAAGCGGGTGTTAGATCGCCACTAACAAGCTGCAGGATGGCCACCATCAGACAGGAAAACATGATTCCACCTCCAAGCTTTCCGGTCTAAATTGAATTATTTTAATCAAGTTCCCCTGGTTGTTCGTCTCCTCTCGTTATGGTTTCGCATGCTGGCAGTCCTGCAAAACAATTTTCGTTATTACATAAAATGTTTTCATACGTGTTTGTTTGTTTGCCTAATTATTCTAAATATTAAAATTGCAACTGGCAAATTTTGCTGGCCAAATTTGATTCGCCACTAATTGAAATGTTTTTTTGGGACGAACATACAAATTTTGGATATTTAGTTGTAGTTTAGTTTAGTCAACAAGTTTTAATAGATTTTGAAGTAAAAATAACATAATTTGATTACTTGTCAATTTCTGTTTAAGGCATAAATGCTTTATTTGTTCATACAATTGCTAGCCGGTTCACATGTAGATCCTTGGGACACTTTCCAAATACTTTTATTGAATATTGAAAATATAAACTTGCTTGAACAGCTTGTAGATCAACTAAGCTCAAGAGAAAAATATTTTAAATTATGAACAAAGTCATCTGCTAACTGTTTTGCACATTTAAAGGTCCAATTTATTTGCACACAAAAAGTTGAAGACTTTTAAAAACTTTACCGTAAATTGGTTTTGCTAAGAGGCGGAAATTAACATTTAAATTGAAATTAAATTGCGCTCAATTTGTCAAGTCAAACAAACAAGAACCAACAACTTTATGTGAATAAATTAGGCATAAGAAAAGCAGCGCTGTTGCAAATATAAGGTGGTATTATTTGCCCCTTTAATATTCCGAAAATTACAGGTATTACAGGTCAGAAGGTGGTCCTTGTTGGAATTTATCAAGATATAGAGAAATTTGAGCCGCTTAGTTTATGTTTGCGTCCACATCAAAATATGGTTGACTAAGCCAAAACACTTGTGGGGGGGATTAACTTTCATTAGAATGTCCTTGTCTTTGTTAAGCTAATTTAAAATCGTCCTGCATATAAGTCAGCTTATTTCGAAGCCATAAATCAAAATTTGGCTTAAGCTTTGCTGACGAGACTTTCGAAAACTAAGCTCGCCTGAAAATGGCGCATTTTAATAGCCTGTACACTTAATCTTAAAATTTTAATTTATTTTTGTTTATATTTAAAGAGCTTTTGATGTTTGTTTAGACTTCAAGTTTTCTTAATACTTCTAGTGTCATCCTAAGAAATATTATATTATTTAATGTGTTGACACCTCCATGAATATTGCAAATTAATGTTCATTGATTTACCTAGAACAAAATAATTACTTAAGTACTTGCTGTTAAATTTAATTGCACGAATTTTCAATTTTATGTGCCATTAAATATGCAGTAGTTTTACCACTTTCTTGTAATTTTAATAATCATTAAACTTACAAATGTGTTATTTTAGTTAATTGCCGGGAGTGTTCAATTTTCCCATCACTTGGCAGTAGCATATAGAATGCTACTAAATTTGTGGGCCACAAATCGTTGCTAAGAGCAATTAAATGTGGTCCATTGCACACAAATGGTTGCAGGTTGCAATGTTCTGGTGGGAAGGATTTCTGTTGGGCAGTCAATTAAAGTTATATTTGGCATGAATTTCATGTAGGTAAAAGTTACTTAGAAATTGGGTGCCAGGAAAGAGAAGGGAGAATTCTTCATAGTTATTAAGTTCTTGGTTGAAAAATGAGTTGTTGTGAGACGGTTTTCCTTTAAGGCATAGATTTCACTTTCACCATACAGTATTTTAGAAACTGTTGCTTCTGTTGAATTTAAAGTATTTTGAGTTGAGTAATTGGTCCAATTTAATTTACTTGTCACTGCTTTAAATGCTGCCATTCCATTCCTTTTTGTCTTTATGAACAATTTCATGCCTTTAGGTGTGCTGCATTTTTTACAAGAGTAAAGGGTTAAATTTAATTTCAAACTCTGATTTCTCAATGTTAGGTTAAGGCTTTAAATTGTAATTTGTAACCTTAAGTCCACAGTTAATGTTTCCAAAACGGCAAAGATTTATATATTTATTTTTATTTTTATGTTTTACTTTCTTAACATCTAAGCGCATTTATTTGACATTTTGGCCCAGCGCCACGTGCTCTTGTTTGTTTGTATAAGGAATTAAGTCCCAAACATATGACAGGTGCAAATTCCCCCGTGAATTCCGAGCCAACGTTATCATCATCGTTGGCTCCTGAACTGTTGTTCGACATTTATTTTTGCTGTTGCTGTTTGGTGTTTATTGTTGGTGTTATCGGTAAGCCGCAATAGAGGAACGGATTGCAGATTGCCTGGGCTGCAACTCCCTTAGGAAACAAGAAGAGGAGTGCAGCCACTGGTTCTCCAGTTGTGTGTCTCCAATTCACTTGATGACAGGCAGCAGGCTGCTAAGACTATTTCAAGGAAAGCTGCTGACTTAGCTTTGTTCGGGAATAAGAGAAATGCAGTAGCAAAAAATCACCAGCAATAAAAATGTAGGTATATTATAATATTTGCTTACGAAATAATTTTAACAGATTTACCAGAAATTCATACCCAATTTTTAATAATTCAAAATGGTTAGTTTAATTCCATTGGTGTGTGTGTGTTAAAGCAAATTCTCTTTTTGTAAAATGCTTTAAAAATTTAAAACAACGATGATCTATAAACATTTTTAAAATTTATTATTTGCTTACAATTTTATTGTTGAAGCTTAGTTGCATTTTTTATAGTGTGGATAATAGTTTTCTGGAAGTCTCAGTTGAGCTTGAGGGTAAAAAGCACCCAAAGGAAGGTGATGACCACATTTTGTCTGCTTTCCTCTACTTTCTACCCTACTTTCTCCTTTACACTGTATCTCTGGGACTTTCCCTGGGTATGCTTGTTTGTGTGTTGTGTGTGCTGCGGCATTTATTAAAAATTTATGCATTTTATGAGACCCTCAAGACGAAGGTCTTAAATGCATTTCCCCCAACAGATTTTCTTGATGGACATGTGCCGGCTGGGACCTCTTGACGATGTGACGACAGGTTATAAAAATCAGATTTTTTAGCTTAGAAAGCTTATTTGGATAAGACGTTCGATCGTAAAAAAAAACAGCAGGCAGTCAATCGAAAGACTGACGTCGTTTTAATGGGTTTTAAATATTTTTTTATTTTTACTGATACTAGTATTGGAGAATATTATAATGTTTAAATAAAATTTTGAATTTATCGACTTATTTAACTATTAATATTAATAATTAGGATTATGATCTCTTTAAGATTTTCCGAATTTCTAGTGATTTTTAGAAATGTTGGAATTTTAAATACTTAGATAACTCTTAAACAAAATTTATATATGATTAAGCTGGCTTTAAGCCTGTTTTACTTTAAATATCTTATTGGAAATGGGAACAAGGTAAAACTACTTATCTATTAATTCTCCTCTGTATCTATACTGATTGCTAAAGTTTCTTCATTTAAGATTATTGTGCCCTATCCTGAAAACTATAATTAATTATTTTGCCATTCAACAAATGTATAACTATCACGCCCATATAGTATAATGTTTTCCACTTATTGATCGTTATCTTCGCTAATGAAAGCTCAGCGTTTTTCGTAATTTACAAGAACATAGCCCCAAGCGTTCGAATGTGTTCTTAATTAATTAAAACTTTATCAAAAGTTTGCACAAGCCACATTTGCTGAAAATTGGGAAAGTGTGGAGGGTGTTCATGAGTTTGGATTATGTTACCACAGAAACAAGGCACGGCACAATATATTTGCCTGAGAGCAAATCGGGTAAAGGATCCACCAGGAAGAAGGAGTCGTCAGGCAGCCAACAGCTTGGCAAAGGTTAAGTCGCTCGCTTTGTTTTCAAGCAGCAACACAAAACACATTCAAAGTAATTCATGGGCGGCGACTTGGGAAACTGAGATGGGGAAACCAGAAGGGGACAGGAGTGCGGACGACCCAGAGGCATGCGAAGAGCATAATTTTTGGGATAAACACCAAGTACAACATGCATACAAGCCAGCTCCGAACACATGTTGGCACTGAAAAAAGAAATGACTTACATTTACCACAATTTAGTTTGGGTCCAATAAAATAAATATATAAGAAGTTTTTAAAGATTTCATAGAATTTTATTAACAATTTGTATTCTTATATGTTATGAAAATTTTTCATACTCGTTACGTAAGGTTATATGTGTACCACAGGGCGTATAATTGATTGGTAGGATAATAATTGTATTAAAATTACCCATACGCCCAGTATAATGCTTGTTTATAATTTGACCAATTTTTGACGGAAAAAAATATTTATTTTGTTTTTTAACTCACTCTTCTCTCTTTTCCCCTTTTTCGCTTTGGCCTATAAAGCTAAATTTCATATTTTCATTTAGTTTTTTTATAAACAAAAAGAAAGAAAATTATATATTTTGTATAAATTTTATGACTTTGTTAACCTATTCAAACACAATTAAATTTAAAACACTTTGCGCCAAAAGTTTGCGAGAAATAATAAAGTCGGAAAAATAATATAATTAATACCATTCTTTTAATGGCACTATCTTTGATCTTGGTTGTATATTTCTCCCTCAGTGTACAAAAACAAGCCCGCATGTGGATGTATGCAAATATGACTAGCAAATTTGCATGTATACACAACACAAACCAAACACACTCACAAGCAGCCATTGGCTCGTGTCAAGTGCACTTGGTGTGGGCAGAGGTCCTTGTTTTTGGATTGGTCTTGGGCCTGCTATGGGTTGCGATGGGTGCTTTTGTTTATGGACCCAGTACCGAGTATAAAGTGCAACATAAACAAAACTCACTCACCTCAGTGGCCACTAACTCTGCCCCAGCCTCATCGTCAGCCTCTTGCCGCCCAGTTAAATCCACCCAACTCACTTACACGTTAACTCGGTTTTTCGGTGGCGTCGCACTTAATCTTTGGGACACATTTTTGGCTTTTGGCCACAGGTTGCCACTTACCTGACCTTTGGCACAGAATGAAAGCCCTAAAACATGTGTTGCATAACAAACACGAAAGCAACAACAGCCGCCGGAAACCGACAACTGCAACTACAACAAGTGCAATTATAATCCCAGCGGCTTTTGTGTTTGCAGCGTTTCCTATTTGTTGCACCTGTTGGTTTTAGTTTGAGTAGC